AAAAGCAGCATTCTGGCCAATATTATGTAGTCTTTGTATAAATTTATCAATGGAAAAGCCATTCATTGTTGGTGTTTATTTTGGATCAAAAAAACCATATTATATTGAAGAATATCTTTTTCCATTCATTGATGAATTAAATGATCTCATTCAAAATGGCCTTCAATTTAACAATATTACTTTTAAAGTTAAAGTTAAAGGTATTATAGCTGATGCGCCAACTCGACATTTTATAAAACAAGTAAAAGGCCATTCTGGTTATTTTGGTTGCGAAAAATGTAATGAAAAAGGTGTGTATTTGTCAATTAGTGTTTGTTTTCCTGATGGTAATGCTGAACTGCGTACAGATGAGTCTTTTTTGTTACGCACTAATGAAAGACATCACATTGGAGTTACATCTTTACTTTCAATACCTGGTTTTGGATTGGTTTCATCCATTCCTCTCGACTACATGCATCTCTGTTGCCTTGGAATAATGAAAAGAATATTACACTCCCTTGTTAGAGGTACTCTTGTTCCAAATTCGTATAATGGTTCAGTTCGGCTATCAAGAGACCAGATTAATGTCATTAATAATCGTATGAAAACAGTTGTAAAATGGATGAGTTCAGACTTTTCTCGAATACCTAGTGATACAAATGACTTTCATTTTTATAAGGCTACTGAATTTAGGCAAATATTGATATATACTGGACCATACCTATTTAAAAGTATACTTAGTCGAACAGTATATACAAATTTTATCTTGTTGAACATTTTCATGCGTTTATTATGTTGCCAGAAGACAGTTAGCAGTCAGAATGATTTGGCAGTTGATTTAGCTAAACATTTTTTACAGTCATATTGTTTTATATATGGAAAAGGAAATGCTACTTATAATATACATTCCATAATACATCTGGCAAATGATGAAAAAAAATATGGAGTTCTTGATAACTTTTCAGCATTTGCATTCGAAAACTATTTGCAACATGTCAAAAAAATAATACGGTCTGGCCCCGCTCATTTGGTACAATTACCTATATAATCGTATTAAAGAAGAACGTGCATGTTTACCTCCACACCCACCTAAAAACTGTTCTCCATATTTAGATGATCAACATGTTAATGGTCCATTGCCTTTTTATGAGTTATATAATGAAGCATATTCTCAACATTCAACACTAATTATGAAAGATTTTACAATTCGAGTTTCAAACGAAAAACGTAGAAGTATGAAAAAAGATGACTGTGTGATAATTTCTTCAAATAATATCTGCATTGTTTATAATATATTGAAAATGAACGAGGAAATATATTTAGTTTGTAAATCATTTAAAAATATCAGTCCTTTTTACAACTTTGATTTGTGTTCTTCTACTTCTGCTGGAATTTATAAATGTAATAATCTGTCTCACACATTACAGTTATATAATATACAAAAAATCAGATTCAAAGCTTGTTATTTACCTATTAATGATATATTACCAAATGTATTTTATGTCTGTGCGATACTTCATACTTCACACAATTAATTATTTTAACTGTAATTATATTGATAGTTTAATATAAACTCAATGACCTATAAAATAACTTAGTATTAATTATATATATATATTTCTTATTGTAAGTGTTTTAGTTAAGTACCTACTTGTACCATTTAATATTATATAAGCATTTAAATATTAATCATTAATATATTCATAATAAAATAAACATTAATCATATTATACATTTTATTCAGTTAACTGTAAAATAATAAATAATTATTAGTTACATTTTGTTATGTTCTTAACCTGATTTTATTGTTTTTATTCTATATAATCAAATATTTCTTAAGAAGCGTGAACAATTCAGGTCAAACGTACCTATGTTATTGTTACTAGTGAAGATAACCATTTTGCTATTCCAAAAATTTGGTTTCTAGTCCAAAATAACTTATCTTTTGGAGATCCTTGTGAATGGTATTAGCTTACAGAAAATGCTTCATTCAAGTCTGAACAATACTGTAATGTTGAAAACCATTGGATCAAAAAAATTGACTTCGTGTTTAATATAACAGGTTAAAAAAATAATTATATCTACTACAATGACATCTATGTCAGAATGTATCTATTAGATAGATTTGACCACTAAACTTAATTAAAATGCCATTATAAAGTATCCTAAGTTAACATCGTAATGCATAAGTAAAACTTAATACTATAATAAATTACTCTCAACTATAACTATACATATAATGTAACCATAATATTATTTTAGATTCTTTTAAGAAAGCAAATTTTATAATCATCACAGAAAAATTAAAACAAAAGAAATTTGTTATTGTTAAATTTTTAAATGAATAGTCCGCAGAAGTTGTATCTACTAACTGGATAACTGTTAATGATGTTTCAAAAACATTTTACTGTCAATGGCCTGGAAGTATGATGAATGCATCAAAATTGGCTATTTCTCGAAAAATCCTTTAAATAATTGGAGTAATGTTTGCCTTACCCGAAAATTTTATAGTAAGTGATATTTTGCATATCTAGAAATAATGTTTCTAAAATCTATTTAGATTTTGACTGAATATTTTGTTGCAGATTCATATACTGAAGTAAAAAATAAATTAACATTGTTTTGTGAAACTAGTACTACAGAGGTTGAAATTAATATTAAACAATCCCAAAGAAAGCGTACACCAAAAAGACATTTTGATTTGTCTGATGCAGACTATAATATTAATTCACTATCAATACAACATAAAAAGACCAAACAACAACCATCCAAAAAAGATATAATATGATGAAATTATTAAGAGAATGTGATACCCGCATGTGTTGTCTCCATCTTACAAGTGTGTAACAAAGCAAATTTTACACTCAGCAGAACACGTGTAGCCCCGTTAATTATAACATTAGAATAAATGGACCTCTTATAAAATCTAAAGGTAAGATTATTATCTAGCTAACCTCATGGGTTTTTTATTATATTTTAATATTCAAGTGAGTTATGAGTACTTTAAAATGTACAAACAATAACAAATTTAAAATACTCATACTCGATTTAAAATTAAAATATATTAAAAAACCCGTGAGGTTGCCTAGATAATAATCTTACCTTTAGATTTTGTAAGAGCACAATCACTCTAATTTTTAAATAACGGAGCTACACGTGTTCTGCTGGGCGTAGAATTAGCTATATTATGCACTTGTAAGACAGAGACAACACGTGCAGGTATCACGTCCTCTTAATTTTGTAACTATATTTAAGTATATAACAATAATAATTATTTGCAACACACACCAATTTTTTAATTCTCAGTGATTCCCTTAGCGCCATAAACAGTGTTAAAAACAAAACTCACTCCGGTGACATTGCTATCCTAATCCAAAATAAAATTGACGAAGCTAAACAAAAAAAAAAACAAATTATACTAACATGGATTCCAGGGCACACTGGTATCCCAGGTAACGAAACTGCGGATACATTTGCCAAAATGGCCATCTCCGACACGAACACGCCATTACTAGACTTCATAACCTACGACGACTTTAAAAACACATTGAAAACATATATTAGAAAAAAATGGCACATAACCTGGAATAGCCAGAATACTAAATTAAACCAGATCAAGTCTACAACTTTCAGATGGGATAATTCCAACCTCAATCGAAAAGAAGAAACCGCCTTAAATCGTTTAAGAATAGGACATACTAGACTTACCCACGGATTTCTCATGTCTAATGAAGAACCCCCCTTCTGTGAAGCCTGCGGCCATCCCCTCACCGTCAAACACATCTTGACTGAATGTCATGTTTACGACCAGGAGCGAATGGATCTCAACATGATCGAAACCCTCGACTCAACTCTCGGACCACATCCTGACCAGAACAAAATAACGCTTAAATTTCTTAAACTTACTAATTTGATTAACAAAATATAATTGTATCTATTATGTATAAAATCTAAATTGTCATTAATAATTGTGAACTAATGGCCTTTGCTGCCGAGTTGTTTTTATAAGATCAATGAAAAAAAAAAAAAAAAAAAAAAATAATTATTTTATTTATTTTTTCTATTTTAGTATATGATAAACAATGTGGAAAAAGTAATATTGAACAAATTGAATCTGATAACTCTGATAACAGTCATGAAAGTGTACCATTTTTACTCGGTAAAAAGTTGTCAGCCTTGAATAATTATCCAAATTCAAAAGGTAATAGTGCATATTATTCATATTATTTGCATAACTAATAATACTAAGTACTGATACAAATAGTTTGTAGTGTTTGCATACATTTAAACATTTCCTATGATTGATACATTTTAAAAATATTCTCAGGGTTATTTGATATATGTGGATCTGACAATGAACAAGTTGTTAACAAAAGCGATGTAATTGTATATCCTGAAAAATCAAGTTCAAATGATAATTTATTTTATATTAGTGGATTTTACAGTGAACAAGTTGTAAATGTTTGCAATTTTTCGCAATGGTTGCAAGTACATAATAATTGCACCACAGTGCACTGGTATTTATAATCTAACCGAAACCACATTTTAAAACCAATAAATTCATCTGAATTTCTCAGTGTTTAAAAGTGCCTACAATTGTTAATTGTTATATACTCTCAATTATTTTATATTTTAGATGTTCCAGATCTGGACACTAATCTTAGCCAGGAAATGGAACAATTTCAATGGCAGACCTGATGAACAAATTAAATTGTATTGGACATGTTCTTAAGGATGGTTAGAACTCTTATATTGCTATAAATTTGGGTGTACTTTTTATAATATTATTTTTTTCAATACTGTTTATTCATAGTTGCAACTAAGAACATAGCTATTGAAAGAGAACTCAAAATTATAAAATTGGACGTTGTTAAGAATCAAGAACTCTTAATAGCTTTGACAGAAAAGGCTAAACCACTGCAATAGCTGTATCGGACACTGCTTCAACTAATAGAATTAATTTAAAAATTCAAACTCAAAGTTTGGACGATTTAAACACTATTGACACAAATGAAGAAAAAATGGATGCATTGGTATGTTGTAATTTTCTATTATCATTGTATAATATATTATAGACATTTTTGTTTTAAAGGCTAAAATTTTACAAAGAAATAGTAAATCATTTGATACTAGACGGACTACATATTTAGCCATGAAAATTACTATTCATAACCGTTTTGCTGATACTTTAAACATGGAAGGCCGCCGAGGGGAAAAACTTTCATTTGGCAAATACAAAGTTTGCACTACTATCATTGGTAATTTAAATACATAAGTATAATATATATTAATAATATATTACTTAAAATTATGTTTAAATTCTATGTACCTATAAATAATGTATTGTTTTATTAGTTAATATTACATTTTTTATTTATTAGATTGTGTTAAGGAATTGTACCCTCAAAGTACATTATTGGAGATCGAAAATCATATAAGTGATTGGCTTAAACAAGCTCCTCGAAGATAATAATATATTATATTACCTATATAATAATGTATATTTTTTTATAAATATTTTTATTTGTGCTATTAATACAATATATGTTAATATAATATAATTTACCCATTGTGACCAATAAATGTACAAATATTCATACATCACAAATATAGGAACATTAGGATTGTATACAAAAAGTATAAAAATCGAGTATAGTCAATGGAATACTTTTTCTATTATAATTATTGTGGCCAAAAACCATACCTAAAATGTCACAATCATGCACCAACAATATACCTATAATATTCCAATCTTACTCGAAAAACGTACGTAAAATGTCCTAATCGTAGACGAAAAACATACGTATTATATCCCTTATCCAAACGTATAATATACAAAAAGGATATGTTAATTGAGGAGTATTATTCGTTGAATATTCGTGAAATAGTGGTCTTTTGACCCAACAATAGACGATAAATAACGCTCTAATAAACGTAATCTGTACCTACATTATACGTATATTGGTGTATGTATATACGTATAACATACGTATAATGTTCGTGTTTTTGTTTACTGGGATAACACAGAATTGATAGAGTGATGAATATGGCATATTTCACATAAAAAAGATAAAGTATCTATTTCCTAAATGAACAGTATTGTTTTGTTTTCATATTGTGTCGGTTCTCAGTTGAATTAATCCTCTGGATTCCTCAATATTAAATAAATATTTTAATTTGTTGTTAACCACAAAAATTGTTTCAACGTTAAATCAACTATAATGTTCTTCTTTATAACTGAAAAAAATGGATATGTGGTCATGCTTTATAGAAAGTGGAAAAAATAAAAGGAAAGCCGCTCTATTGTATAGCCAACGATTTGGACTAGAGAGGCAAGTTCCTAGTTCAAGTATTTTTATAAGATTGGAAAAAAACTTAAAAGCTACTGGAAGTTTCAATAAAAATAAAAATAGGAAATGTACCAAAACTACAGAAGAATATTCTCAAATTGTTTTAAAAAACTTAGAAGAAAATCCTAATACATCTTTAAGAATAGTATCGAGTAAGTAAACACATAAATATAATAAGGTGAATGACATTTGGTGAATGTTGACATTCACCGAAATTTCTGGTGAATGTAAATTTCTTCTTAGATGTAGACATTCACTGGTGAATGTTGACATGCACTATCTATTTTTGGTGAATGTTAACATTTTGTAAAAAGAGATGAATACCTAGTGATAAAATAATTTTTACAAATTAATTAACCATAAGTTATTTTATTTTATATTTTATAATTATTTGTTGCAACAAGATAAACTATTATGACATTTTGAGTTACATAAAATGCCTGAGGATCTACAACTACATAATGTCTTTTATCTGTTCTCGTGGCAACGAACTTGTTGCCAGACCCCTTTTAGCAACGTTACCAAACATTGCCTCATACGGTGTCTGCTTTATTCCTTGATGATATGCAGTGTTTTTTGCGAATTGAACAAATTGTAAAGCTTCTGACTATTTTGTTGTATTCTTATTATGCATCATGGCCCTGAGTATATTTTGAAAGTCCTGATTGGCTCTTTCGATGGAACCTTAACATTGACAATGACGGGGTTTACCGTAAACAATTTTTACACCCTCCCACCTTGAGCACAAATCCATTATAATTGGAAAACTCTCTCCCATTATCGGAATGCAGAATATTTGGTGCACCAAAAGTGAGGAAAATTGGCAGCAACGTGAGGGCTACTTCCTCTGCTGTCTTGCTCTTCAATGGTCTAAGCTGTATAAATTTAGTGAGATGGTCTTGATAATTGAGAATAAATTTGTACTCACCATCTTTACACGTTTGCATATCGACTAAATCAACTTGACATCGAGAGTTGAGTTCACGACTTTTAATGGGCTTTACGACGATCCCTTTTCTAGGGACTTTTTGTTTCCTTTGACATTGAATACACAAGCTCAAAAAAAATGTAACTGATTCATATGTTTTATTTTTATATTTTGTTTGTAATTCACTAATTTCACGGGTTCGTCCTCCGTGGCCTGTTTTGATATGGGCATTATGGATAATATCGAAAAAATCTTCATTTTTTACGAAGTAAATTATTTTTGTTTCACCAGGTTTCAATGGAACAATAAGTTGGTTAAGAGACATTATTTTAACGACATCATATCTTTTCAATAACTTGCACACGGCGCGTTGCTTACTTTCTTTCCCCTTAAACTTGAGAACGTCTTAAACACATTTGTTATATTTTTCAGTACTCAAATAAAAATTGTTGTCTTTTCTTTTTGTACTTAATATTAAATTTTTCGGAAAAAACTTCTCGTATGTTCTCCATTATACACGTGAATAATTAGTAACTCGAACGTATCACAAATTCAATCAGTCACAACAGTCTACCTTTCCATTCGTGTAAGAAAGGTAAATGAAAAAACGTCGACACTGGTTGATATAAACGTATTTTCCATCACTACTAAATTAGGTACGAAGTATTGCCAATTATGCGATTAAGCAAAAGCTTAGTGTGTGAGAGAGAGATAGGTAGCGGGTACAGGCAGACAGACAGATACCTTAACGTTAAATGCATCTATGATAATATTTTTTTTTTTTTTTTTTTTTTTTATTGAACTTAAAAAAACATCAACAACAAAGGTTATTAGTTTTGTACAAAATTACATAGTCATTATTAAAAATACAGTATTTGTATGGTGTTCATTATATATGTTACAATTTAAATTTATATTTATATTACAATTTTCTTTAACAGTAGGTTCAAATTTTGTCGTATAAATCGGATTTTTTGAGGAAGGTTAACATGATGTTCGATATGTTTTCACTATCTGGTCCTAGAGCTTCATACAAGTTGGGTGGGATGTTGTATTTTTTTAGATTTTCGGCATATTGATAACACTCAGTAATTATGTGCTTCACTGTTAGTATAACCCCACAGACTATACATTGGGTGGTTCTTTTTTTACCATGAGGTGTTGATGAGTCAGCCTTGTGTGACCTATTCGGAGACGATTTATAAGAATTTTTTCTTTTCTGCTGAGATTTGGGTTTTGACAAGTTAAAAATTGTGTTTTTAATTTCGTTGAGTTTGGTCTGTTGTTTAGACCAGTGCGTTTGCCATTTTATTAGTGATTTGTTTTTGATGTGAGTTTTGATGTCATCATATGTTACGGTGTCGAGAAACTGTATATTGAGGTTGTTTGGTTGTGCCGCTTCCTTTGCTGCTTGGTCCGCCATCTCGTTCCCCCTTATATTTGTGTGGCCTGGTACCCAAATGAAATTGATATTTATACCCCTAAGCTTTAGGTTTTTTCTTGTATGTTCTTTGCAATGTCTGTTGGGTTTGTATTGTTCTCTAAGCTTCGTAGTGTGCTCAGTGAATCGGTGAGTATCAGATTGTTTGTTGATATTTTATCTTGTCTTTGTATGAGTTCTAATGTTTTGAGGACGGCTATTGCCTCAGCAGAAAAAATAGAACATTCTTTTGGTAGTCTATATTTGATTGTTGTTTCGTGGTGTACGATTGCAATACCTACTCATTTTTCAGTGTTTGAAGCATCTGTGAAGAACATGTTGCAATTTTGGTAATTGTCTAGTACTTTTCTCAGATGTTCTTGGTATATTATTGGGTTCGTATTTTCTTTTTTATTTTGTGCTAGCTATTTATCTCCAATTTGAAAGTCCATGGTGAGAAGCTGTATGGGTTTACTTTGAGAATAGAGCCCAGCTGGATTTTATCTTCATTGGCAATTTGAATGGTTTCAACTATGTGTTTGTTGGCTGGATTGTCTGTATTTCTAGTGATGCTAGCTGCGTAGAGAAGTGTCTTCTCTGCTCTTCTTAGCTCTGGGGGTGCTTCTTGTGCTATGTTTCTTATGCTTTCTATAGGGCTTGATTTGAAATCTCCAATGCATAGTCTTATGCTGGAGTTTAATGTACTGTCTATTATTTTAAGATGTGAGTGGCTGGTTGATTGGTATAAAATTGCTCCGTAGTCTAACTTTGCTCTGATAAGTTGTCTATGTATGTGGATTAGTTAATCTCCCCCCCCCCCACCCATTGGGTGTGACTTAACATTTTTATTAAATTCAATTTTTGGTTAATATCCGTTTTTAGGTATTTTAGATGTTGGATCCAGTTCATTTTTGTATCAAATTTCAGGCCGAGAATTTTGACTGTGTTATTGTTTGGTATGTTTTTTTCCATCCATTTGAACGTTTATAGGATTTTGCCCTCTTTTTCTAGAGAATATAATGCATTGGGATTTTGAATTGGAGAATTTTAAACCTGACGTATTGGTCCATTGAGTTAGATTGTTGGCTGTTTCTTCGAGGAACCTTTGTACAGTTGATAGGTTGTTGCTCCTGCACCAGAAGTTGAAGTCATCTGCGAATAAAATCGCGTTTACTGGATATTTGATATTTTCCATTATATTGTTGATTGCCAATAGAAACAAAGTTACTGATAGCGACGGACCTTGAGGTACTCCGTTTACTTGTAAGAGATTTATAGAGAGTGTGTTTGATACTTTGACTGCAAATTGTCGATTGTCTAGAAAACTTTTAATATAGTTAAGCATATTACCATTAGATATAATTTTACTGAGTGTTTATGATTGATGATGTATTTAGCTTTGGCTCTTAACTGTTTTAACTTTATGAAGTTTTCTTGTGAATTGTTTTTTTTTTAAATGTGTTGAGTGCGTTGTTTTTTTCTTTAATGGCCTCTTTGATTTTCTCGTTCCACCATGGGACTCTTGGTTTTTTAAAATTTGCATTGCTGCCTATTGTTTTTTGCGCTATCGATGTAATGTGTGTCGTATATTTTTTCGTTGCTTCATCAATATTTGACAAATCCATGTCCCCTATTATCTTAGATTCTTCTTCTAGTAGTTCTGTAAATAGTTTCCAATTCGGGTTTTTTAAATTCCATCTATGTACTTGGTTATTTTTAACGTCTGTTTGTCTAGTTAATAATTTAATGTTTATTGGTAGATGATCACTGCTATACACTTCATTTAATACTTCCCACTCGAGTCTTTGAGAGATGGAGGGTGTACTCAGCGAGAGATCTATGTTCGAAAATTTTAATATTATATAGATCATTAAACACAGTTCGATTAAATATTGTGTGAACAATATCATATCTATAAACATTCACAATCTTAACGTATGACACGATAACGTCTATACTCCAATTTTAACTAAAAATGTCTAACATTCACCAAAACTCAATTGTGAATGTTGACATTCACCGGTGACTGTTGGCAAATTTTTAATATTCATTCACCAAATGTCGTCATTCACCTTAACATATATCTAATTGTCTGGTTTCCATATTATGACCATACGTCATTTGATTAATTTCAATATTATGTTTGATACTATTTTATTAGATGTGATTTGTGTTTCTTTCACAAACACATTGATGTTATTCTGGCAAACAATGTCTCAATTTTTTGTGAATCAAACATAAAATTACTGCTATTTATTAATAATTATGTTTTATTATTATTTATTTAGAAGAAGTAGGAATTTCTTATAGTTCAGTACAGAAAATTGCAAAAAAAATATAAATATCACCCATATAAACGAAATACTGTTCAGCATTTAAAATTTGATGATTATGCGTCGTCTAGATTGGATTGCAAAGGCGCTTATTTGAATTCTATTTTTAAAAATTTTTCTTTTTTTTAATATTTACTTATGTCTTATAAAACATAGGGTACTTGATAAAATCTAAGATAATCCTCAATTATTGGAAACAATATGTTGGACTGATGAAGCTAAATTTCACAACAATGGCAATGTAAATAGTCAGAATTTGCGTTATTGGTCAAATGGTAATCCTGTAATTAATAATAGGTAGTTTTTATTTCAGTTTATTAAAAATTAAGATTCGATAATGAAATACTAAGCTTATCCATGTCACTAGGAATAACTGTTGGCCAACAAGATGGCAAAACATATGTTTTTGGTGATGTTTGAAGTTTCCTGTCCAGAGTGCAACATCGAGCCTATTATAAAAAATTATTCATTATTGTCTATTACACATTGAATATTTGAATCATGCTTCATCATAATATTACCGTGTCTCCTCTTGACCAGTATGTAAACTATAAGACTTGGCTCTTCTTATTATAATATCTTATTTATAATTTGGTTTTTAAACAGAAAATGTGTATTTAATATATTAGAATTGGATAGAATTATGGTAAATAAATATTATGATGTAAATTATGTACTTGTTTTATCTTCAGATCTGCTAATTCATCATACACTGATTGGGCCGATTTAGCCGGTAAAGATGAAAGTGGTGAAGAGGAAGGAACCATTGAAACGAGCATTCAAGGTGAAATAACTGTTGAAGACGAAGGAAGAACTGCATCATGTTTCTCAGTCACATTTAGCTTTACTTCCTTGATTATACCCGAGTTGTCATTAATAGAATTTGTTAAGCTCTTAACAATTCTATTTTCAAATTTAGCAAATTTGGTTTCTAGTAATTTGTCGATTTGTTGTAGGGTAATCACTTTTTCACTTTCCTCTTCTTGTAGGTATGTAATATAATTTATTATTATACTAGGTACTTATAGATCTCATATTAAATTTGTCTTACCAATGAAGTAATTTTGCGCTTTAAACATCGTTTTCTGCAACAGTATCGACAACTTCATTTTTTAGTGTCTCGTTTTTCTTTTTCATATCTTTCTAAAGTAAATACAATTATTTACAAATTATTATATTATGGCCTCACCAATTTCAAAAACACTGCCCTATCAAATATTTAATTCGTTAACCGCCATAACATAGCAAGCAGTTTTATGGCGGTTCAAGTGTAAAAATCGGCACATGACCCTAATTGAACTACCAAAAAATTGCTCTTAGAAAATATATTAATTAACTTAAAAATGATTTACTTATTGTATTTCAACATATCCTATATCCTCTATGTGTGTTTCGATTTCTTGCTCCAGCCTTTTATTTTCGTCCATCAAACATTGGTTTGTGGACTCCAATGTATGTAGCTTCTGATAAAATGATTTCAAAATTATTTTTAAGTATACTAAATTCTTCTAAAATGTTCTTAGTATAAGTCGTACAAATTACATTTCAATTTAAATGGTAAAACTTACTTGCATTGACGACTCCAACAGTACGACTATAGACAAATAGACCTCTTTATTAAAAAAATTATGGAAAAATATTATGAATACAATAATGAACTACATATGATTTTCGTTGATTTTAAGCAAGGCTACTACAGAATAAGTAGAGATCAATTATGAATTTCTCTGACGAATATAGGCATTCCGAATAAATTAATAAGAATGATTAAGACATGCAACTCCAATACACTCTGCAAAGTCGGATGGCAGGGGGGCTATCTCGTCATTTCGAATTAAAATGGGGTTTAAAGACAGGAGATGCCCTCTCTCCCATATTATTTAATCTCGCTTTTGAAAAAGTTATTAGAGGTGTAGGGGAAGATGGAGTATAGGTCCGCACACACTGCGGCTTTAACACTTTGACTGCGGCATGGGTTGACCTGAGTGACCCCCTGTATGGAACATTTTTTTTTTTATCAAAAAGGTTCCTTTTACTCTACTTTATTTACATCAGTGTTTACTTTTACTAATGTTTTGTTTTTTGACTATAAAACGATTGTCGACGCGTAGTCGACTTCAGCATCATAATATGGCATTTTTTCCGGATGCGGGTCTCGACTATGCGTCGACAATATTTGGATTTTTATTACTGCGTCTACACGCCATTATGATAAATAGTATGTTGACAAAAATTATATTTGGTTGGAATGTTTTACGTAAGTTATGAAAATAAATGTATAATAATAATTTATTATTTATATAGTAATATATTTATTAAATATTAATATATTTCATAATTGAATAAAACAACTGAAAATAAATAACTTAGTTGACTTTACATTAACATCTAGTTTCTGAAAGTGGTTTCAGTATTACTAATGTACCATGTTTTTCATAAATATACCAGCGTTTTGCAAAAGATGCAAACACACAATATTATATTCTTTGTATGGTGCCAAAAAACCCAACCGCTATGGTGGAACTCTTTGCTATATCAAATTTAAATTATGACATGCACATGGTGAAAAGAATGGTCTAGGATTTTTGCTAAAATTCTTGATTGAACCCCTTTTGTACTGGCCTTTCATATTGGCACCATTGTCATATGCTTGTCACAATTTTTTAGATGTATTATTTATTTGTCCAATAAAATATTTGTCAAATCATATCCAGTTGTATTATGAACATTAATAAATTCAATAAAATATTCTTTGATGCAAGGTATTGTAGACATACTTTTACTTCCCATATTCCCAGGACAAATGCCCCCCCTCCTATAGCCGGCCCTGATAATATGTTGTTTCGACTCTTTTTTTGTTTTTTGCACAATTGACACATCTTTTCCCAAACGGCCTATTTTTTGTGTTTTTCGAAACTGAAGAAATGACATGTAGTCCCTGTTTGTTTGATTTTTGCGCTGTTCATTATTCAGTATACTTAATACATTAAATTATTTTATTATAATTGTAATTAAACAAGTGAATGCAACTTTTAACTTAAAATGTAACTTAGTTACATAACTGTCACTTGTATCCAGTTACGTTACATCAAAGTATCTATACTCCGTCCCAGGAGAGAGTGCGACTGGGCGGCGACCAAAACGCGTTAATTTCCGCGCATCCCCATCATTTTACCGGCCAGATCGCCACCCATTGGAACGCGACGGTTACTCGCCTGTACCTAGACCAGTGGCCACATGGTGGGGAAATTTGGCCTCGCGACGTCAGAGTGAATTCATTTGGATGCGAGTGGTAGTTGCACTCTCTCCTGCGACAGAGTATAGTATCTTGTAGCTAGTTACACAGTTTTAGAGTAACTTGTAACCAGTTACAATAAACTGAGTGACTGGCCCAACCCTGAATACAGTTTTAGTTAAATTTGTTATAATAATTACTAAGTAATAAGTTACTCTTTATTAATAACCAATAACCATATACTTTATATTTAATAATAACAAAAAAGAAATTTGTTTTGTTTTTAATTTTAAATTTAAGAAAATTATTCAAGTTGATGTTGAAATTTATAAGTTTAGTTATAAGTTTATTAGTTCTTGGTTCTTTTTTTTTTTATAAATGTCTATCAAATTTTATTTGTTGGGTCAAAAAGCTTTAAAATTTAATACAAGTCTCCTGTGATATACTGTTTCAGTAGCAGTTGAAAAATAATAGAAATACATGTGCACATTTTTTATAAGCATTTAAAGTTTGATGTTTAACAACATTTATCAAATTAAAAATTAATTTTTTTTTTTTATATATATTAGGCTATGGCTCAGATGTATTACAATCTATTGTAAAGAAATCTTTAGCAGAAAAAAAACAACCATTCAGTAAGGAAATAAAAGAATTTGCAGTCACTTTACAATATTATTCCCCTCGAGCTTATCTGTATGTAAGGAAAATATTTTCTAATGTTCTTCCCCATCCTCGTACATTAAGGCGCTGGTATATGGTCGTAGATGGGAAGCCAGGCTTTACATCAGAAGCTTTTGAGCAGATAAAGAAAAAGTTAATTTAGGTCCAGTGTACTGTAATCTTGTAATTTATGAAATGTGTGTCAAGCGACATATTGAAATTGACACGCAGCAAAATATTTATGGTCATGTTAACATGGGAACTGATGCCAAATATAACGAGACTGATGATATACCTGTTGCCAAAAATGCATAAGTATTTTTAATAGTCAGCTTAAGTGGATACTGGAAGTTACCAATAGGATACTTTTTAATAGATCGGTTGAATGGAATTTAACGTGGAAATATTTTAAAACAAGCCATTCACCTAATAACTGAAACTGGTGCTCATTTACATTCGATTACATTTGATGGGGCTCCTGTAAACACATCTATGTGTGAATCATTGGGTACACAATTCAGTACAGGAAAATCATATATAATTAATCCAGTTACCAACTAAATATTTATTGCTTTCCTGACCCGGTCCATATGATCAAGTTAATTAGAAATGCTTTTGGAGACAAAAAGGTTCTAAAAAATGGTAAAGGTGAGTTAATCAAATGGGAGTATGTTGTTATGTTGTATGAAAAAGAGCAGGAAGAAGGTTTGAGGGCTGTCACAAAATTGACATCTAGACATATATTTTTTCAAAATGTCAGATTAGCCTCACAGTTACTTAGTGATAGTGTCGGAGATGCACTGCTTTATATGCAGACAGTTGATGCTAAATTTGAAGGGTGTAAAGCAACTGCAGAATTCTGCAAAATAATCAACAATGCATTCGACATTTTGAATAGTAGAAAGTTATATTCAAAGAAGCCATACAATAGTGCAATTAATAATGATAATTTTGAAAAATATCAACTTTTTACTATGGAATTTCAAAAATATATCAATGATCTGAAATTTGAAGATGGAACAAATGTTATTGATTCTAAGCGTAAGACAGGTTTCAAAGGAATTGCTATGGGTTTACAAAGTGCTCTTGACTTCTTCAAATTGTTAAATTCTAAAAATCATATGACATTTTTCATAACATACAAGATAAGTCAGGACCATTTAGAAACTTTTTTCAGTGCAGTACGTAGTAAAGGTGGGTACAATGACAACCCAACATGTCGCTAATTTCAGGCAGCGTACAAACGGTTATTGGTGCACAACAGTATAATGGGTTCAGTGTATGGCAACTGTTCTATTTTAGATAACACTAATATAGAAGCTGTGAGTGGTAACAAATTATCTAATGAAAATGAAGAAGAGTTAAATTTTAATTTTAACTGGCAAATTGAAAAGCCTTTGCTCCATCATGCCTATTTCGAGAATGTACAACACTTGAATCCGTACATTGAAGATGTTTGTGTTTACATTGCTGGATTTGTAACAATGAAAGCAACTAAAAAAATATCATGTTCATCTTGTACATCACATTTATTGGCGACTACTCAAAACAGCAAATTAGCGACAGTTAAGGATAGAGGGTCTCTAATAAAACCCAGTATGGATGTCCGGACAGTGTGCATAGTAACTGAACAAGTTTTCAGGGAATATAACTATGGTATAATGAATAAAACAAAAATAAAAGCTTTTGTTTTAAACAAAGTAAAAACTAACCTATATAGTAAATTGTCCATATTTAACAATATGTCTTGCGTAAATTATGAAAACTGTTTATTCGATAAAACCCATCAATTTGACAGCCATAGAGACCAATATATACATTTACTTTCGGATATATACTACAAAATACGTTTGTTTCACGAAATAAGAAAATCTAATGACAAAACAACTTTAAGAACAAAGCTCACAAAAATAATTCACTTTAGACATGAGTAACAAAATAATCTGAATATTATACTGTTAATTAATATTTTGAAATATTGTTAATTTTTGTTAAAAAGGTTTAAGAATTAATAACGTAATACAAATAATAATAAATAAAAGAACTTCTATTATCTATGATTAAATTCTTATCTATCTATCGCCACGTATAACCTCAAATAATATTTTCCTATTAATTCCCGTGTGATAAGGGTCCATGGCCTATCCATTCTTCTATTATCTATGGGCATAAATATCACTTAACAGTGATAAATTGATAAAAATATCATTACCACGCGTTTTTAATCAAAATACATATCCTACCGGGCCCGGGCTACCGATTACCACCGACCTATCACTTGTTGCAGTATCGTGCGTTTGTGTAGTTATTTATTCTTTTTATATTTTGTTGAACAACTTTGTTCAGCACATTTTTGTCACAACTTACATTGAATATTCTGTATTATAACAATAGGCGTGTCTACGGGTCTTGCCTGTCATGACCTGCGAAATTTGATCTAACTTACATTATAAATTGCGGTACATAATATAAACTTTTTTTCTTAGATTCTGATCTAATATTAAATTTTTTTGATTTTCATCATGTGGACTTTTAATATCTATTACAATTTTGGTAAGATTGGGAATTGACAGATTGTCAATTCGATTTAGGTTACCAATATGAAATAAAAACAAACACGTATTAAAAATACAAATCGATTGTAATAGTCGAAAAAGAAATACTTACAAAAATTAATTTTAAATACAAAATTCAATATTAATGCACACAAAATCTTTAAATGGGTCAGTAGAAATAATAAAGTTTTTGTACAGGGAAATAAATTAAATTAAATTTTAAAATACTTATACATTTATTCTTGCAGTTCCATGAACAATCACTAAATATTTAATGAACTAATAGTAAGCAAATGTTAATTCAAATGTCATTTACTGGTCTATCATTAGTTAATTTATTATATTAGTTTAAAACACACCTTTCAATCAAATATAATATAATTAATGATTACAATTTGAATTCTATAATCTTTTAACTTTTTTTGTATGTCATGTGTATAATGTCATGTGTATATATATAAAATAATATTTTTGTTTTGAATAATGTGAGAAAAATATTATTTACCTGGTATTATATTATTTATTGTAAATGACGTAATAGTAGACACCACACTTGACGTCTTCTACTAGAGTGTCATTGGTTTCCACACCAGATTCGGAATGTGCAGTTATTTCATATGGATTATCTATATTGTATTGGATACCCAATGCCGGTGGTTCTGGAAGTTGAACAATTGTAGTCAAATATGTATACATTTTATCTTCTACTGTGTTTTTTTTTGATTTTTTTTTTTTTTTTGGCTCCATAAATTCAGGCTCAAATATTTTTTTGGCAATAATTTTCCTTCTTTAACAAACAGCCAACTGATCGCTTCCTATATCATCACTGTCTTCTGAACCTGACAAAGCTTTCGCAACCCCCTTGCTTGTATTTTATTGGCTAAAACAACATATAAAATTAATTTTATCAACGTAATATCAATTATAAAAAATAGATAAATAATAATAACAAATAGAAAAAATTGAGTAACTCACTAAAAGGCCCTGCAACTTTTTTTTATGTTGTAGAATACACCATCTTTATCATTTGGGACATAACTTTCGATAATCATCTTTGTTATTTGTGTAGGATTAAAGTATGTTTTGGTTTGGTCATGCTTGGTTAATGGAAACCAACACTTTCCAGTATCACTGTCACCAAGCAAAGACAACCATTCTAATGGCACTTGTTGAGCCTCCTGAGTGTCCAAAAATAAAACAACAAACCAAGACCTAAAACCAATATAGTTATGAATTTAGTTAGAATGGTTAACATGTTTCTATTACTTTTACATATACCTATGTATTTAAAATATATTATAATACACATGCATAATTCAATTTTCAAAAATAATAACTACTCATTTTTTGTTATTTGAAGTACAATATATAATTGACTTACCATTGTTATTAATAAATTCCAAATTGGAAGACATTAAAAATAAATTAGGAATAATATTTACAGTGTAGAAAATTATTTAAGATATTGAATAATAATACAATAACAGTTATAATAATAATAATAATAATAATAATAATAAAAATATTAATATTAATAAGGATTCAGTTGCATAGTTATGTAGTTAAGTTGTAAAGATATTACTGAAAATGTAATAAAGGCTAACGATAGAATTTGTATTGTTTAGAGGCAAATTCATCATTTTTTTTTTTAACTTATCAAACTTCCATGACTGAAGTGGCCCAACTCTAGAGGCTGCATGTATACCTAATAATTTCGAAGAACATGGAGTATTAAAATATTCTGTGAGTTTTTCATATTGTCTGCCAATGACTACTAAAGAATGATCGAATTTTGAAGTTAATATTCTCAATCAGAATTATGTCACCATTTTCTACCATGAAACAATTATCAGCATTGTTCAATTTTACTATAAACTTATCATTTTTCCAACCTGTATATTCTCGTTTACAAGTTTCTTGAAGTATTGGCCTATCTTTATTATTTGTATGAACATGTATAGAACCATTTTTTGAATTTAAACTATGCTTAGACAATAATAAAATTCTAGATTCAGCATATCTACGGGCCAATTGTTGAAGTGGTTTTACACCACTTTTAATTTTTTTTTTTTAGAGGCTGCATAAAACTTTCAAAAGGGAATGCAGAAAAATTATTTAAGGATCCAAACGTTTGCACATTGTCAGCTAAATGAAGCATTATATGAATATTATGAGACATAAAGGTATTTCCATAAATTTCAGCAAATTGAGACACAAAATAAGTTAATAATTTTTTTGCAAATAAAATATATTCTTCAGATAGATTATCTGTGGACATAATTCTTATAGCAACACACAAAACTATAAAATGGTTGTAAACTTTTTTCTCTAAAATATTATGAAAAATGACCATGCCGGTGTATAAAAGGCATTGTCTAAGTTCTGTTACTTTCCAACGAGTACAAAATCCTCGGATACCACAATTACCAGTCACTGGCATACAGATAAGCAACGCCGTAGGGGAGAAAATATGCAAAGTATCTAAACAAATATTCTGTGAATGCAAAATAGGTGATATTTACCTACAGACTAATTTCATTCAGGTAGAGGGCCTAAATGAAAAAGGTATTATTGGTACATATTGAACAAATATTCGGCACAAATAAAGTTCAACAAACAGACAGTACAATTCAACGTCAATAGTATACCAATCACTGTACCATTCGCCAACCGAGAACCAAAGATAACCAAAGAGCACCTGCTCAATGTAGAAATCAACGACAGCTTGGATGACGATCACGTCAACTTAAACGATCAAGAAAGTCAAATGTTTGTGTCATTACTAAACAAGTACGAACACATTTTTTCTGAACAACCTGGAAAGATCACTGAATTTCAATGTCAGATACGTGTCAAGCCAGGGGACCCGAGCCAGGGGATACCTAAAGTAGATGCCGAAATACAGAGGATGCTAGATTTACAGGTCATAGAAATATCAACATCACCATGGTCGTCACCCATAGTCTGTATAGAAAAGAAAAATGTAGATATTCGATTATGTCTAGATGCTAGAAAAATCAACACAGTCATAATACCGGATCGGGAGTGTCCCACAAACATGGACGACACCCTTATCAGATTCCAGGGGATGAAATACCTAAGTTCGATCGACTTGACGGCAGGTTATTGGCAGTGTCCACTAAAAGCCGAATGTCGGGAAATTACGGCATTTTTACACAAAGGCCGTAACCATCAGTTTAAAGTATTGCCATTTGGATTGATCAATTCAGTTGCCGAATTCCAAAAAATCTTAGATAAAGTATTAGGACCGGAAATTTTACAGTTTGCTGCCATCTACGTAGATGACATACACATCACCTCAGCAAGCTTTTAAGAGCATGTTTGTCACTTAGAACAAATCATTGAAAGACTGGCTCAGCACCACATCACAATCAACAGGAAAAAGTCGCAATTTTTGAAAACTCAAGTTATTTTTCTGGGTCACATAATAAGTGAAAAAGGGATATCTATGGACCCGGATAAAATACAAACAGTGATGAACTTCCAACCGCCCAAAACGAAAAAACAGGTACAAGCTTTCATTGGTTTCATCAATTTTTACCGAAAGTTCATTAGGGATCTGTCGCAAGACACCGGACAACTTAGCAAACTGACCAAAAAGGACGCAAAATGGATATGGGGAACCATCCAACAGCAAGCGTTTGATAACA